ATTTAATTTAGTTATAATGTAAATACAATAAAAATTAAACCAAGCTTTAGAATAATTATCATTTTGATCCATACATTGGTAATATGTGACTGGGCCTCATGTCACTTTATGTTCAAAAAATTGGGCCGCGAGGTCATAAAGGTTAAGAACCCCTGCTGTAAAGTGTTTTTAAAAACATCAGCTTTTCTCACCAAAACCTTGACTGAGTGTAGATGGGCAGAAGCAAACAAAAACTGCAGAGAATTTTGATTTATAAAATTATCAGGAGCAGACAGCACAAGGCCTGAAACTTAGACATTGTGGACAAGGACAATGCATTAGTTTTGAGTGTGACAGCAGCTACTATCAAAATTCATTATTTTTGCGTATCTTAAATGTCTAAAATATAGGAGGAAGTGACAGAAAAACAGCACATTAATATTCCACTTCAAACAGGGAAACTCTATTCCCTCTGGGCTACCGTACTAAGACGTGAGGGGGATCATGATGAACATTGTGAATCTTTTTATACAAATTGCTCATTTTACAGTAATAAAAATGCAATTATTCTTTCTGTACGACAATTTGACTTTAATAAAGATGTTGAAATAGTTATGAACATTAGATTGTGTTTTTGCTAGAACTTTACCCTAAATGTTTCACACCGAAGGTTTGATCAGTGATGAGATGAGGAGGACACAATCACACCATTTTATGCTTTAACACCTCGGCTGGAGGGGAAAATGACAGCTTGTGATAATGTCATGGTTTCAGTGAGGTGAGAGAGTAAATTTAAACAAGACATTGAGGGGGTTAGGAGGTGGTCCTTTACCTCCCAGAAGCTGTCCATGGTGTCGTCAGCACCTGCAGATTCATCGTAGGAGCCCGACATTTTCCTGGATGTGGCAAAGCTCTCTAATCACTAAAGCTGTCCTCTGCAGCAGAGCTGGGTTCGTCGTGCACTGAAAGAGACCAGATGAACAATAAAACATGAGAAAGCAGGTCCATATCTATGTTTTCTGGTACCTACATTATGTTCCCTAAATCCTATGTTTACATGTACTGTAGCTATGTTTGCTAGGTCCTATGTTCACAGGTACCTACTGTATGTTTCCCAGTACCTATCTCCTTGGTACCTATGTTTCCCAATACCTACAGTATGTTTACTCATAGATATGTTCCCCAGTACTAAGGTTTACCAGTGTATATGTTCACCAGTACCTATGATCCCCAATACCGATGATTAGTGGAACCTTTGTTTCTAAGTATCTATGTTCAATGATATCTATGTTCACCAGTAGCTATGTTCACTGGTACATGTTTGCCAGTACCAAGGTTTATCAGTATCTATGTTCCTTGGTACCTACACTCACCGGCCACTTTATTAGGTACACCACGCTAGTACCTGGTTGGACCCCCTTTTGCCTTCAGATCTGCCTTAATCCTTTCTGACATAGATTCAACAAGGTACTGGAAACATTCCTCAGAGAGTCTGGTTCATAATGACATGATAGCATCACACAGTTGCTGCAGATTTGTCAGATACACATCCATGATGAGAATCTCCCGTTCCACCACATCCCAAAGGTGCTCTAATGGATTGAGATCTGGTGACTATGGTGCCATTCGATTACAGTGAACTCATTGTTCTGTTCAAGAAACCAGTCTGAGATGATTCACGCGTTATGACATGGAGCGTTATCCTGCTGGAAGTAGCCATCAGAAGATGGTACACTGTGGTCATAAAGGGATGGACATGGTCAGAAGATGGTACACTGTGGTCATAAAGGGATGGACATGTGGTCATAAAGGAATGGACATGGTCAGGTAGACTGTGGTGTTGACACAATGCTCAGTTGGTACTAATGGACCCAAAATGTGCCAGAAAAAATTCCCCACACCATTGCACCACCAGCCTGAACCATTGATACAAGGCAGGATGGATCCATGCTTTCATGTTGTTGACGCCAAATTCTGACCCTACCATCCGAATGTCGCAGCCCAAATCAAGATTCATCGGACCAGGCAAAGTTTTTCCAATCTTCTATTGTCTAATTTTGGTGAGCCTGTGTGAACTGTATCCTCAGTTTCCTGTTCTTAGCTGGCAGGAGAGACACCCAGTGTGGTCTTCTGCTGCTGTAGTCCATCCGCCTCAAGGTTTGACATGTTGTGTGTTCAGAGATGCTCTTCTGCAAACCTAGGTTGTAACGAGTGGTTATTTGAGATACTGTTGTTGTTCTATCAGCTCGAACCAGTCTGGCCATTCACCTCTGACCTCTGGCATCAACAAGGCATTTGTGCCCACAGAACTGCTGCTCCCTAGATATTTTCTCTTTTTCAAATCATTCTCTGTAAACCCTAGAGAT